ATATATATATATATTTTAAATATTGCATGAAAGTTGAACAAATATTGTATAAAAATTATATTTATGTTGTATGATATTGTAGTTGTATATAACTGGAAAGAAATAATGTATGAAAGTTGTAGATAAGTTGTATAATATATATATGAAATTTATTTTTACTATGTATAAATCAGATACAAAATATACAAAAGATATATTGTAAAAAATTGTATTTAAAATGTATGATATTTTAGTTATATTTAACTGGAAAAAAATAATATATGAAAGTTATAAATAAGTTTTATAATATATAATTATTATGTATAAATCAAATACAAAATATACAAAAGAAATTTACTTGTGTCACAATTTCTTTATAAAATTGTACTAATAGGTATCTCTTGTTCTGTTTGTACGTGCTAGTCTAATTAAGTATATGCTTTTATCCAAATTACAATTTCGTAGATAAAATTTCCTCTTGCCTTCGGTGGATGTATAGGTGACGAAGTGAGTAAATGAATTATATGTGAGTTGAGTGCATAACCAGACGTCACCATTTAGAGAAATACCAACTTCCCAACACTAAAAAACATAACCAGGAATCCTATTGTAAACTTTCAGATTTTAAGTGTGTTTTTCCGTTTGGATTTTATTTTCACATGAAAAAGTAGCTAATTTTCGATTAATTTTAAAACTACAGCCGAGGAACATGTAATGTACTTAGAAATTGAACAAGGAATTTAGACTGGAAATGGAGATTTTATTGAGTAATTCGAATTGTACAATCAAATTCTGTAATTGAAACTATTTATTGAGAATAATAGCTTCTACTAATCCTCCAATGAATCCAAGCTTTTACCTGTAGAATTAATGGAGGGAAGTTAGAATAAGAAGAAGAAGATTGAAGAGAAGAGAGGACGTCAGAAAGAGAAGAGAATAGAGAGAGAGAGAGAGAGTAACAGAATATACCAGATGATAACTGCCCAATTGGTTAGGCCCAATTTGGTTATAAGCTCCTTCAGCTGATGGCCCAATTCTGTTAGCTAAAATCCAATCTAGGCCCTCCATTTCTAGAATGCATCTCTGTCATTCATTCACCCATGTGCCACTCACGTGCTGATTTTTATTAACCCTATCTAACTTTTCTAATTTAGTTCTTCATTTCCAAACTTAGCCGACATATAACAAAGCAAGGCCGGAAAGAAACAGTTGAACGTGATAATGACGTCATATGATCATCAACATAGCCAGAGTCAAAGATTTGTCTGGAAAAAAGAAGAAGAAGAAAGTCGGAATCTTGTTACGTAGTAGTGATCCTGTTTTTGTTCTTGCTCTCTTCTTCAGTAATTTCTGCCCAAAGAGCATTTAAAGACAACAACTAACCTTCTAATTTGATGAAAAATCATCAAAATCTGTAATTGAATCTTGAAAATGGGAAGGGAAATGTGTTTTGAGTGTCTTCAGCGTAAAATTCAATCAGATTTCTCAAACCAACTCATATTCTGTTATGGTCTTTCTGATTCTCCAACTCATCTTCTAAAAAACTCCATTTGGTTAAACTGGTTAATCTATAATAGGTTTCTTTTGCTTGGAAGGGAGAGTGTGCACTTCCAAAGACGTGAAGTTTCCGCAGAAGCAAAGAAAAACAACGGTTTGCTGGAGAGAAGAGGAGAGAGAGGAGAGAAAGAAGGAAAAGGGTGTAACTAAATCCCTTGATTTAAGACACAAATAATGGATTAGGAACCTTTTAAGGTGGATTGCATATATTTGTAACTAAAATATGTTTAGGTCGGGTAAATACCAAAACATGAACATTTTTCATAATAAGGTTTTTAATAGTGTATGGGCTATTAAATTAATAAATATTTGTCACGACCCAAAATTCCGACCCGGTCGTGATGCCGCCTCTCGTGAAGACAAGGCCAACCAACTAAAACCAATTCACCTTTTTAAAATAGTTAAACATGTCATAAGCAGTCTATACATGATTTAATGATAATTATTAGCGGAAGTACAACCCGACACAGCCCAAACCGGGGTGTCACAAGTCACGAGCATCTATTAGAGTATAAATACAACTAACAGGTCTGAAATATACAAAACAAGACTAATGAGCGAAGAGGGAGAAAAGTGGTGTTGCGAACGCCGGCAGCCACCTTACTAAACTCCGATAACTCTGCCTCCGATCAGCAAAAACCCACTACCGGGTGCATAAATACCTGAATCTGCACACAAGGTGCAGGGAATAAAGTGAGTACTCTAACTCAGTGAGTAATAAATGTAAATAAAGACTGAAGGTAAGAAATCACGTAAAGCCAATCAAGATGTTGTATAGAAGCAGTTCAAAAACCAGTAAGAAGCAGTGAAGGTGAAAAATCTCTTAAAACATTTTTAGCTCAGTTTAAACTTCTTTGAAAATGGCTTTTTCAACAGTTACGCAATGAGTGCAAAACAATTTGTGCAGATAAGCACAGAAATTCACCCCTCGGGCACAAATACCATAGTTTAAC